GTAATTGGTAACAATCAGTTAAGCACTGAAATAATGGTCCCTCCAGGATATTCTTATGTTTTCTCGGACACCCCTTTTGAGACGACGTCTGCGGTATATGATGAACGCTTATTATTAAGCTGCAGTATTCTGGACGGTGTTTTGCGTCCGTCGGTCCATTGCCTCGCCTGAAGTGCTTGAGAAGCGGATCCTAGGGTTTGTGGACTTGTTTCCTTGCTCGACTGACAGCAGTTGTCCACGGGCTCCTTTGGGAAGTTGAAGCTTTCCACCAACAAGTGAAACGTGAAATTGACAGGCTTTGGTTATTCTGGTTGGCACAACGTTGGCCGTAGTTGGTTTGCATGCCGGGCCCAAATCTGTCTTGTCTTTTGTATTGCGGCACAATAGCTGATGTGTTTTCCACCTCCAGCTAACGTGTAATGATGATGATGCGGGCCCAAATCTGTGTTCCCACGAACACGTCATACATGACATTTCCGCGCTTGTTTTTGATCGTGCCGGGCTTTTAGTTCACGTGGCCTACCCGACAGTCACGTACCCGCACTGGCTGTTCAGCTGTGAACGATCGTAGTAGTAGTAGTAGTATGCGGAAACATAAGCAGGCGAGAGGAAATCAGAGAAATCATGGGTCGCTGCAAAGAAACGACGCGCAGTGCATAAATCAACTATCACCGATACGTTGTGTATGAAGGTGCATATGGGAACGGATGACCAGAATGGTATCACGAAAGAAGTGTGCAACTGGGCCCGATATTCTACGTTGGAACTTTTGCAAATTGCAGAGGTAAGTTCTCTCATATACAGCTCGACTGCATTGTGTTGCGTTCGCTACACATTAAGTTTTTACGCTAGATCCCTTTTCCCTCCCTATTATTATTCTTTAGTCCGTAGGTCCCCATTGTTGTACGGCAGCGAAGCATCAGTTTAAATGGCTGGTGTGTTGTTGTTGATGAGGACAAGTGTTGCTGGACAGCCGAAGCTGCAGTCGCAGTCTTGCTCTAATGGCATCAGTTAGTTTGATCATCATGAGAAGCAGTTCGAGTAATTTGCTGTAAGAGCCGACTACAATGAGTAAACCATGGCAGTTGATCGGTCCTGTGAAGTCGGCATGCATACGGCACCATGGTTTCGTGGGTTTGGGTAATGAATGGAGCCCAGTATTTTTGTGACGATTTTAGAGCGTTTGTATACTGTTCGCAGCTATGTGTCCATTAAAGGCCAGTATACGTAGTTACGGGCAAGTATCTTCGTTTAGTAGACCACTGAATGTTTTAGGTTTTAATAGTTCAAGAGTGTATGATGGCATAAAAAGCATAACTTGACAAGACTCACTGGATGGAAAATGTACCAGAAAAATAAATCGAAAAGGTTTCAACCTGGAGCGTGAATCATCAGTAGTATAGATATCGCACTTTATCACACTGTTGTGTAGCGTTTAGCAATAAGATGAAAGTCTAGTAGTCTTTCGAATGTCGCGATGTCTGGTGCGTTCACCAAACGTGTTGGTAGTGCATACCAGTGCGAACAGATTTTAAGAGAGCAAAAATACTATCTACAATACAAACGGGAGCGTTGCGTTACTAGTTTCAGGTGATGGCTTCAACATGGTAAGGGGCTAGGGTTAGCGGTGATGTACATGGGTATTCGCTTTCAGTTAGTATCCCATATGTGAAGAAGAGATCACCGCGAAGCCGTCGGTACTCTGAGGAGAACACACCAAGTAACCGAAGATGTAATTCGGAACTGAGACCGGATACTATACGTGTGGCCTCGGTGCCTCTTCCTCGAGGTTACTCCAAGAGACGAACAGCTTGTTTTAACCATGGGCGCCAGCTCTGAACCGAGTATTCAAAGTGGAAACGAAGATATGCATTGATCAACAGTGGTAATAGCCGTCGCTCAAAGGTGCCGAAAACTCACCTCAAAAGCCTCAAGTTCAAGTTCGCCACATTCGCTGCTTTCGAGCATTGGAGCGAATTGCCAAGACATTCTCTAACGATGATATTTAAGTTTCGTTCACTAGTCACCAGTTGCACAACGTGTTGTCCCAGAAGATGTGTTGATGAAACTGCTACGCACCGTCAGCAAGTGATAGTTTGCAAGTTTCAATGGGAGCTGGTTACTCTCTACCCATTCGTTAATCCCATCCAGATCGTTCTGGAGATATGCACGGTCGGACGCTGAGCGAATGGCTCTCCATATTTTAGCATCATCTGCAAATATCTGCATCGAGGACAAATCTTTTCTGGAAGGTCATTTAGGTAAACTAATATCAGTAGGGGGCGGAGTATGGATCTTTGCGGTACACCACTGGATACACACAGGCTTTCGGAGTGAGTTTTGTCTATTCATATCTTGATGCTTCTGTCTTGTAGGTAATCTTCCAATCAGGTGAGCAGGGAACCGTTGATACCATTGATAGCAAGCTTTTGGAGGAGAACGAAGTGCATGACCTTATAAAATGCCTTAGTAAAATCTAAGTAAACCATAGGGACTCCTTCATCAGCTGCTGTGGTCCATGAATCCCGGAAAAGAGCAAATTAGTGAGGCAGGATCGTCTACATCTGGACGTTGGAAATTATTTGCAGACGCGAAATAACGTGTCAGTTCATCTGTGATTGTCGATTCCAACACTTATGATAAAACAGGAAGTAGAGTAACAGGTCAGTAGTTGGCAAGATCCGATCTCTTGCCACCTTTGTATATCGGGGTGATGATCCCATTTTTCCACCCAGATGGAAGTGTATGGCTGCAAGATGCACTGTTATGGTGGGGGTACTAGTTTCAAGTAACTTTTGGCAAATCTTGTCGATTCTCGAGGCACTGAAGTACGCACACTTGTAAGATCTTCAGGATAACAACTCTCCAAAAACAATATGTAGTCGTCCCTAACAAAGAGTGAATATCTCCCTTGATAATACCGCTGCAATTAGGTTGATGAACATGAACGCTGCCAAAGTGTTCATAGGAACTGTGTGACCCTGAGCAATGGGCCAGGAAGTGTTACAGTCCTCACAGCTTCCGCTGCAATTGGTAGTTCATGTAATGCGTCACTCACGGGAAATATGACGTCAGGTTCACGCTCAACTGAGGTTATGGTGGTGTCTCCTCTTGCCGACGAAAGTCATTGAGAGGTGACGATACGTTTCTTTGGCCCATGGGAACGGTTGAATAGTAGCGGAGCTTAGACCCATAGCTTAACATAGTGCCTAGCGTTGGAAGCGGCCGGCTGTATAGGTAGGGATGCATTTCTTCAAGCCAAAGATAGCTGTCAACGTTTTGTGATCGGTCAGAAGTTTGAAGCGGCGACCACATATCATCTTATAGAACTTCACGTAAAATATTATGGTCAATGCTTATTTTTCGATCGGAATGTAGTTGCTTACGGATTTTATCAACCTTCTGATGCGTTAGAGACCGTTTTATGAGATCCATCTAGGTACATAGGTAAGATAATTGCACCGATTCCATGGTGTGATGCATCTGTTGCGAGAATACTCTACTGAGTTGGCTCGTAATAGGTCAGCAGCAGTTCTGAGGCTAACAGAGTTGATTCGTTCGAAGGCACTCTGATGTCCAGTTCCAGGCGCGAGATGCGGTCAGTAGCTTGTTCAACGAGGCAGGCAGGCGATGCATCTTGGGCAGAACGCCTTGTTAAGACTGATGAGACCATAAAGTGGAAGCAATGGTTGAGATGTGAAAAACACTGGCGAAGAATTATCCTTCTAACACCACTGTTAAAACCTGGATATCTCGTTACCAGGCTGAGCATTTTATCCAGGAGCCTCGCAGTGGGCGGCCGCCAACTGCAACTGACCTGGCAATATGCGATGTTGTAGGAACGGATGATATCCACAAAAAATATAGCGCAAGCTTTGGACAACACACCGAAATGTGTTGAATCTGCTATCCCCATATGACAGAAATGCGCAAGCTTTCAGCAATGGGTCTGTCGAAATGTTTGAACAGTGATCAGAAGGAGAGAGTTGAAGCGTCCACTTCGGCTCACGTTGAAGCTGCGCAGAACTGTTTGGTTAAGTTAGTGATTGAGTATGAAACAGGGCTCCGGAGTCATGAACCTGAAACCAAGGAACAGTCAGGGGAAAGGAACTACAGTGGGTCTCAGTGCCAAAAGTCAAGAAGTAGTGACGGCCGTTTTCTGGGACAGAGACGGCATTCTGTTGGACTAGTTACCTAAAGGCCATATTATCAATGGACAATATTACATTAATCTCCCGGATCAATAACAACGAAATGACCAAAGGGGTCTTTATGTTACAGGACAATGCACCTGCACACACGTCCAACATGCGGATGAAAGATAGTTTGAGAATCACTTGAAGGAGTTTGATTTAGGAGGGGAGTAGAAAGAACTGAAACTACGCCGCACAAAATGCATCAGTATCTGTGGGAGAATATGTTAAATAAACGTGCTACTTCATCACAAATTTTTGGTCTAAAAGTTATCAACATTTCTTGGTACAGAGTTAGATGAGACCCAAAGAGCAGCGATGCAGGATGTACCAAAGGAGCATGGAGAACCACAAGAAGGTTGAGTGGAGTCGGTGTGTGGAATCTCCCTGGATGGAAGCCTCGAGGTTGTTCGCATCTGTAAGCACGCGTTTTATCGGATATAACGCAGTTGCCGTTACAGTATTGTCGGAACTTAGCAAGCGCATCTGATAAGCATAACTGCCTCTTCTTCCTGAGGTATATCCATCTGTTCATCATAATATAATATTGGAAGAGTTTGGTGATGTGGGTTAATGCAACTAGACTTACTGCACAGCAAGGGCATCGCAACTGAATTGCAGGTGGAATTGACTAAAAGTTCCCAAATAAACTCTTGGAGACCATGTTAGACAAATCGACTAGAAATATGAAAGCGTTTTGCAAAGACGCAGACAAATAGAAATAACGCATTCTCAATGTTACAAATGAATCCCCAGAAAAGACATCCAAAGATGGAACAAAAAAAGCGAGAGCATAATGGAACCAACCTCAAAATTGCATTGGAAAGGTTTCTCTCCCGTGTGAACCAATTGATGTCGCTTGAGTTTACTCGATTCAACGAAAGCTTTACCACATTCCGTACAGACGTGAACCCGAGGTCCATGCGTGTGGAGATGCTTCCGCATGGCTGAATTATCACGAAAAGATTTTCCACAACCCTTGTGGGGACAGGGGACCGCGCGCTCGAAGCGTGGCGCTTCGGACGAGGTAAACATGCTCATCGAGCTGAGATCAGAGGGAGAGATCATTACGCCAGTGCTGGGGATAGCGGGTGCCAATTTAGGCAGCCTGTGGGAATCTCTGGGGCTTTGCTGCGCATCAGTGCCGGATTCGTCGACAAAGTAGGGGGCTGTGGTCTGTCCAGAATGGGTTCCACTTCGTACATTTGGCAAACTGCTCGTGTTCTGAACTTTGTTCATTTGGTTACAACGAGACGTGTCAGTTATCGGCCTTGGAAGACGTTTTGTCCTCAGTACAGACCTGTGTTGGAATGTGCCAACACCTGAAAAGAGCAGATTGAGGAAGGCGGAGATGTAGACAAACTATACAGAATGGGATAAAACCATAAGCAGTTTAGAGTAGATGATGAAGTGTGAAAGGCGGCTTTATACAAATGCACGAATTTGATGTTATCCGAAAGTTGCTGCAAAAAAGGTAAAAAGCAGAGGAGCATTACTTCTCAAAAAGCGCGCAAAGAGGGAAGTAGGGAACAGCGAGACATTGTCTACCTACCACTGAGTACGCCGAGGGCGATTTAATAATCTTAACTCCAAGCTAGAGAAAAGCGCGAAGTAATACATAGAGGATAACAGAGTCTGCGAGTAGCTGGGTTCTTGGAAGGAAGCGGTCCTTATCAGCTCGATAAAATGCAAGGCACGCAATGAAGATTCAATAATGCAGAACCTTTGATGTGACTTTGGCTTTTGGATAGTGTAGCGATCAAGAACAATATAGCAACCTACCGTCGAAGAGCCTGTCCGTATCTAGCAAGCCTCTGTTAGACTAGTGACAGTGGCGACGATGTGAGACCGACGGACTAGTGAAGGTTGACAGAACTAGCTATGTTATTCCGAATCGCAACACGCAGAAGGCGCTTAATGAAACACACATGGTCGCAAGATTACAGATAAAGTGAATGGACATGCTCAGTTACCGCAGGTCTTGGGGAGACAGAAGCGGGTGATTCCGAGCTAGGCAACGGAGAAGACAAGAGCAGGCGTTAAGTGTGTGACTGAACTGTCAGAGCGAACGGATAGATAAAAGGACGAGCCAGAGGGTTAATGGAAGAGGAAACTATTGAATTCAATTGCCGAGCGCAGCAAGCGTAGCCGTCCAGCCACACAGCTCTGTGGACTGGCCACATTTCAGAGGAGTGAAAGTGAGTTCCTTGTCGTTTGTTTCATTGAGTCAAAAGAGGAAACTTAATGGCACAGAAACGTCGTGCATGAAATATACATATCGAGACGTTTTGCGGGTTGAGTGTGCTGTAATTCGCACTGAGTTGCCCTTGCTGAATAAAGACATCCCTGAAAGATTGAGTTTATAACACTAACGATCCATAGTGCAAAAGCTGGATGTCTGCTCAAAACGCGGGACTATACTGTAGTGACGTTTATGAGTCAACCAGTTGTATAACAACGCCTTCTGACATTGAAAATGAGTTGCTAAACGATAGGCCTCCAATGTCGCAAATGATATGGGCCATATACGTTATCAGCAAGTTAGTCATTAATCACTGCTACTGGGGCTTGTAATCACCAAAGCGTGATCTGAGACATGAAAAACCGTGCAATGGAGAGCTCATAATTAACCTACCCGTGTGATGCAGAGACTAAGGAAGCAAGTCAAGTGTACGCGATTCAGGTAGGGTACAAGCAGATAACATTTCATTGCAGTGGAGGCCGAAAAATGAATAGGATGCACGAGAATTGGAAAGTTTCACCAAATAAGAAAAGAAAAAAAGAAGGGATGACCCTAGTTTGTGAAGAATTTGAAGACGGCAGATGTAGGACCAAGCAAATTAAAAGATATGTCGATACAAAGTGTTGGTGACACTACGTGTTCTGGTTCAGTGAGCATTCGTGTTTAGGTTACACATTACAGTAATGGAAAGTTGAGTGGAATTCATCGTGTCAATGTGAGCGTGTTAAGAGAATTCGCAATGCAAATGGGGAGCCCTAAGAGGTCTTAAGGCAAGCTATTCACGAGCGTGGATCAAAAAGGTACTAATAATCGAGTCGATAGAAATTTGCTTTAACGTAAATAATAGTCTCGAGTAAAAAATACCTGGCATCCAGAAGACAAGAGAATTACTCCCATTGTAACTTAATAGCAACCTCTACCAAGATAACAAGTATTCTTCATAAACCCAGCCGAATGATGAGGGACCATGGGGTCATCATCTTACTCTTAGTTGTTATCAATAAATAAATAAAGTGGCATCCAAACAAAGATTGACACATAAACCGGGACTGACGCCGAGTGAAATAAACAAGTAAGTACAATAATGTTTTATCAATTTTTTACAAGGCGAACCTAAACCGACGCGACCAGTTAATTGCACGTGTCAAGATGTATTACATATTGGCTGTACCCACGGACGCCGCGGGTATTGAATATGTTGGGTATTACTTTTGCATCGGATCACTGTGTCATAAGTGTTTTTTCTGAGTGAACTGTGCACTGATATTCTTCTTTTCGTGTAGTTTCCAATCGGTGCAAATTTGGTGGATATTCCTTGGCAAATTCTGGAGATCCCATTGATTGACCCAACTGTCATCTGTGTCCGCCATCTTGGATTTGCTCTACCTTGTGATGCCATCTCAAGCTACTTATGGGTCGTGTTCGAAAGTTATTATACATAAGGCTTAATCACTTCGACTGCGCTGTTCTGTACCATATTTCGTGCTTTGGCTTATTTGTTGATGTGTTTCGAAAAGCTCTCGACATCTGACATAGGTTTTTCCAAGTTATTTGTGACAAATGTCGCGGTGCAAGATATCAGAATACACAGCGACCGCCAACAACTACGGGAAAACCTCTCTTACAGACAGAAACAAACCGTTCACTACATGGGGTCAAATGCCCCCGTGATAGTACCTCTGTCACCTCGCCTTCCAGTGTCACTCCGCGATCTGCACCACCACCAGCGTCTTCGACCCCGGCCGAACCTCAAGGTCAATGTTCCCCACAGATTAAAGACTCAGCCTCGAAACCTACGAAATGCCAGTTCACTAATCGGTCCATGAATTTCTCATAGCTGGCTGTGAACGTCTGAACACCGAGGATCCATGGACCACTCAAAAGCACATGGGACCACCTAATCGAGCTAGGGCGTCTCCTGCTAATAAACAACAACCCAAACCTATAAGCGCCTCTAGTCCTGCTCTCACAGGTTCATCACCGATTTCGCTGAGGGGTCATAATTTCATGGTCTTCCACGCACCAGAATCAAAAAAGTAAAACTCTCAGCTACGTTATGATCCCGAGGTTAAGTCTCTCCAGGGACTCATCGATAGACTCTTGGATGTGGGTGAAGATAATGTGACGAGTAAACAAGTAGTAAGACTTGGCCAGGAAACTAACCGGTCATGTCGACCACTGAGAATCACCTTTGCCAATCACAACATGCCGCAAGTCATACTGTCTCGTCTGTCAAGGCTGAAGGACAGAAAGATTCAAATCCGCAGAGACTTGGAACCCGAGGGCAGGGATCGTTTGAAGACTACGGTCCTTGAGGTCAAACGCCGTACAGAAGGTGAAACTGATTTACACAGTGTAAACTTTCGGGTCCACGAACTTGTGTCAACCGGTTGCTCAACTTTCAAGCACGTCCCGCGGTATCTCCAAGGACCATCGTGTGGCATTCACCAACGTGTGCAGCCCAATGAACAAACGTGACGAACTGTGCCGCTTTACTGTCTCGGAGCGGCCGGACGTCTTAGGGCTTGCAGAGACTTGGTTGAACTCCGACGTCTTAACCAGGAATTCGCCTTGTTAGGATACTCTTGTTTCCGATGCGACCGAAAATCAAAGGCTTAGGGTGGTGTTCTGTTGTACATCAAATCGTCACTCTCTTGCAAAGAGATCAGCAACTATCGGAGCGAGGATAACCTATGCGAACAACTGTGGTGCTCGATCTGTCCCATACGCGCAGAGCTAATAGTGGGTGTTATCTACCGTAGCCCATTAAACTGTTGTTGCGATTAGCTAACACATGTACAGAAGCATATAAGCCTCCCTCAATTTCTACTGATGGGGGACCTACATTTATCTAGGATATTCTGGCCAGACGTTCGGCTTTTTTACGGTCATGGCAACGTAAAGGCCCAATTCAATAAAATGACTATTGAAATCGGGGCAACGTAAAATGTCGTCCAACCGACGTGCATGAGTCCGCACTCGGCATCTTGTTTACACTTCGTTGACGAGCTGCGAGCAGAATCTGAAAGAGGTCAGAGTCCTCGAACATCTAGCGAACAGTGACCACTGCTCCATTGTGGCAAGCATAACTGCCGTTACCGTATTACAACCAACGGAAGCCGACATTCAACTATTGGATTACGGACCTCAACGAGCTCGTCCAAACCACCACTGTCACAGGATGCACCGCTTGAGGCCTGTTGGTCAGTAATGAAAGGGAAGCTTAACCCGCTGTGTACTCAGTTCGGTCCCCTGAAGTATTCAAAAGTCGGACCCGTCAAACAGCATAGGTCTGGTAAGGAAATATAAACAGTCAGCGCGGCGGCGACGCAAATTTTGGGATAAGTACATCAGCTCGGGTTGTGATGAAGCCTACAAGGGGTACAAGAAACAGCGTAACTTATGTTACGCCGTAAAGATCAAGAAACGCCGACAGTACGAAGAAGAGCTAGCAGTCTCGGCCACAATCACCACAAGAGAATATTTGCCTACTTGGAACACCAACTGAAATCTGCGGGCGACCTACCGGTCTTAGAGAGCTTGAACGGACAGTCGCTCATTTCAAGCGCGGAGCGCGCGGACGCCTTGGCTATGCACTTCCTCACCGTATTTTCTAGTAAACCGTCGGCTGTTCCAGTATCGGCACAGGTTGCGCCAGTCTTGCTCGACAGCCTACAATGTGATGCAGTCGAAGTGTATCAGCTACTCGTCAACCTCGATGGTGCAAACCTTCCCTGGATCAGACGGACTTCACCCACTAATACTCAAGTTTCTATCGAATGCCATCTCACCAGCCGTGATAAACCTATTCAGTAAATCACCCTCCGTAGGATCTGTCCCCAACGACTGGAAATACTCGATAGTGAAACCGCTTCCCAAGGGTGGTGATCAGAGTAAAATAGAGAACTACAGACCGGTCTGTTTGACTTCGCTTTTGTCCAAAGTTCTCGAGGAGGCTGTGAAAAAGCGTCCATTGCCGTTCTTCGAATGGATGGACGTATTGACGCCAGCGTAACACGGCTTCACAAAATGGCTATCCTGCATCACCAAGTTACTGTACGCAAATCATCAGTGCATATG